AGGGGTTGATTGATAGCAACAAATCACACATTCTTATACCCAGCACTTCTAAACACATACTCACAGCAAACGAGTATCCGCCAGTTCCTGGAGCGTGGAGGGCTGCGAATTTTGGCCACACAAATGGACCAAAGTGAGAAGTTCCTTTACGGAATATCTTTCGAAGTTCATCGGCTCTTTCCGGATCTGGGCTCAAGGACGTCTGTAGTTTTTTGTCTCGTGCCAGGTTCAAGGTCAACGATTTGGTTTATTGTCCCGGATTCGATATCCCTCACACAACTGTTTCCAGTACTTCTGAATGGTGTTGAAGAAGTTGAGTGCAAGCAGGGTTGACATTGAACTAAAGAGTGTCACGTGTTTTCTTTGAGCCCAAACAGGGAATGAAGGTACAATACCGTCTGTTCGTTTTCCATGGTGTACACTTCCGGTGGTGACGCCGAAAAGGGACATACAAAATATGCCGACCCACTTCCGCCTCCCCATAGGAACACCCAGATCTGACTTGGTGATGGGCGGTTTAACACGGATGTCATGCCATAATTGTAGCTTTGACATGTGTCGAAAGCGGAACAGTGTGGTTCTGAGATAGACGAAATACATCCAACTCATTTTACCGTAAAATTTTGTGGTCTTTTGGATGTCTCTTTACTTTTCCTGAGGTTGTTCCCGAAGAAAGGACGATGTATTGGGGAGCTCCTGAAACATGACATCGCGCTCTCCATCAACCACACGAGACACGTACGACTCATAGTGTATGTACGTAGTTAGTGGGTGCCTGGCGAGAAATTCCTCTACCGTATTAATGTCTCTGAATTTGAAATCTTTACCATAGGCCACTTCTGCTCTTTGATTAAGGATGTCTCTCAGGAGGTGAGCCTGGGCGGTTTCACGTCCTGCATAGGAGCCAGAATCTTTCTCTTGAGATGGTAATGTTGGATGAGGAGCTTCTTGAAGCTGACGTATTGTTGTAGCATGGAACTCCATGTATGTGAGAGTGTACGGGCTTGATCTGTATATGTCTGCTGCTACCACAGAGGCCAACATGAAGACAAACCCCACCAATCGTTCTGAAACAAGACAAGAGTCATGAGGGTTTTTTCTCTGCTTTGATGTTAACAATGGAGGTTTTGTTAAATCGCAGCTAACTAATAAAGCTTGCAATGTTTAAACTCTCTGGTTTGGGCAAGCCCTGTCTCGAATTCCTCCTTACAGAAACAGCTTTTCGGTTACCCTAATGCCGTAAACGTATGATCCGTCACCAAAGAGTTAACTTAGCTGCACATCGCATTTAATTGTACTATCAAGATGCATCCGTTTTGTGTGGCGCCAAAGCTGGAAGTAATTTGTTTGGTGTTTGACCTTTACTAGCTGCATCAAACACAAAGAGAGTGTATGATACTGAACCGTGGAACCGTAACCCTTGACAACCAACAGATCCTGTCAGCTAAGGTAGACAACTCTGCACAGGAGCTTAGAATGTCTCACACGCTGATGTGGATCTCGATAAATCTTCACTCACCTATAAGCAGGGCAAGAATATTCTGTGACGATGATCTAAACGTGAGATATAGGCCAAGTGTTCCAAGATGAATCCCGACAATCAGGACAAGGAATGGATTGAACCTGGAAACAGAAAGAAACATCCCTGGGGACAATCGCCCATGTGTATATGATGTTAAGCGGTACTCGTGGGCATTTTCTATATTTCACTTCTCGATATCAGTTTTTGTTGTTGCTACTGTTTTGTAACCGCTCAGCGATTTTCCAGCTATATGAGGGTGTTCAGTATATATTCGAATCTTGACCAGACAACCCAGTGATTAACATTATGGGCGGCGATCTACGCAACTGGCACATTATCTGACATTCTATACATAACAGTCCAGATATGGTCTAATACTATATACATAACATTCCAAACATAGTCTGACATTCCACTTATAATTTTCCAGACATTGTTTGACAGTTCAATCATAACATTCCAAACATCGTCTGACATTCATTTCTTAACATTAAAGACATTGAAATATACAATGCCATTTAGAAAGTGGTGAATGTAACATTTGTTAGATTTGGGATTACAGTTTCTTTGTAGACTCTAGACCACTTTCTAAAATGGTATTGTGTATTTCATAGCTTTCGGCCGTGGGAGCCGTGCCAGTTATCACTTATCAGAGGGTACACAAAGTCCGCAGTCTAGACTACCAGTTGTCCGACTTCCATTTTTGTGGAAGCCGCGGTGGCTGAGCGGTCTAGGCGTCTGACTTTGTGTGCTGGCGACTAGGTGTCTGACTCTGAGGGTGTGGGTTCGAATCCCGGATGGGACTCAATCCAACAAAAGTACTAGAATCTGTACTTTTTCAAAGAAAGAGTAATCCCAAATATAACATATGTTACATTAAAGACATTGTTTGAATTCCATTTCTAACATTCCAGACATTGTCTGACATTCCATTTCTAACATTCCAGACATTGTCTGACATTCCATTCATAACATTCCAGATATTCTTTGACATTCAATTCATCTCCTGATTTTCCATTCATAACTTTCAAGACATTGTTTAACATTTCAATTCTTAACATTCCAGACATTGTTTGACATTCCATTGATAACATTCCAGTCTCTTTCTTGACTTTCCTTTCAAAACATTCCAGACATTGTCTGACATTCCATTTATAGCTTTCCAGTCTTTTGTCTGACATTCCTTTCATAGCTTTTCAGACATTGTCTGATATTCCAATAATAATTCAGCATTTAATTTTCCAGAGATTGTTTGACATTCCATGCATAACTTCCGGACGCTTGATATTCCAGACATACATCGGGTAGAATATATAGATTTGACCCCAAGATTGACAATTTTAGGGCTATTTTTGACATGTATGGAGTGTCATGGAAAGGCGATGAGGTGAGGTGAGGTGAAATGTGGTTTAACGTCGTACCTAAGAATATTTCGCTCATTTGAGGACGTGCATGCGTGTGTATGTCTGGCTGATTGAACTAGCCCAGGCTCCGATTTCCCAAGAAACAAACTTTAGTTTTTACTCAAATTTCAAACTGAGTTTGATAATTTTAATCAGTTGAATTTCTAACTCAACTGTATTTCTAAAATCAAAAGCCAAAGCAACTTAAGTAACTATCTACTAAACTTAAATTGTGTACTATGTTTGAGTTAAATGTCGATTTCTGTTTATTCTGGGAAAATGTTCCTTCGGTTTCTAAAATTTCAGTAAAACTTTAACTTAAGTCAAAAAATCGAGGCCTGACTTATGCTGGTTTTATAGCTCATTGGGAAGTAAAGCATCACTGGGAAGTATGAATACCCCACTCAGACACAGTATACTGACTCCGAGTCGACCAGTCCTTGTTTTACCCATTAATGCCGAGCACCAGGCAAGGACCAACAAGTACCATATTTTAACGTCTTTTGGTATGACGCGGCGGTGGATCTAAACCTCGACCTTCCGCTCTCCGGGAGGACGCTCTTAACCATTACAACAAACGGATTTCATCATTCAAGAGCACGCCTGAACGCACTTGTATAGGTGGACAACAGATCTGAACTAGGCTGGTCAATAGACAACTTGTAGACACATTATGGGGTCCTATTTTAAGGTCAGGCGAGATTTTTTTCCTTACTCGAGGTTAAACCTAGGGTAAACCTTTTCAAGGGCAATGGACATAGTGCTAAATAGTAACACTGAAGCATAGAGAACAATCGCATTGATATTTATTGAAAAATAATTCCAAAAGCTAATATATGATGTATTTTAATGTTCACGAGCCATATTCTTTGTTACATCTTTAATTCAATGCTATTGTATCATATGAACACAGACACCGCAATGAACCGAACGAATCAATTTAACTAACTTGCTGTGTTTATGCTATAGCATTGGAACCAGGGACCAGACACACACACACACGCACGCGCATTCACACACGAACACACGAACACACGCACACACTCAAAATACATATGTACGTACGTACAAACATACATACATACATATATAAATGGGAGACATTTACATAATTATTGTCGTTTAAGCGATGTATTTTTGTCATAGCACAAAGATTAAAAGTGAGTGAGTGAGTGCGTTTACGCCGCTTTTAGCAATATTCCAGCAATAGTATGGCGGGCGACACCAGAAATGGGCTTCACACATTGTACCCTTGTGGGGAATCGAACCCGGGCCTTCTCGGCGTGACGAGCGAACGCTTTAACCACTCGGCTACCCTACCGTCCCAGATTCAAAGATGTGTACATGCATACATGGACCTCATCTCCAGTACAGTAGCCTAATTTTACTTTTATAGTATACTTATATGTGTTTTAGATACAGAACAACACCCGTGCGATATTAATTAGGACCGGCTATCGATATAAATCATAGAGATTGGTAATCGTTAACTGTATATCAATCGACTATCGATAAATATCGGAGAAGTGACTTTGAGCAAAAATGCTCAAAAATTCTGAAACAAACAAATATATTTCACATTACTGAAGAGTGGTGACATGTATATGCGTGGATTGCTAACAGAATAACGTCCTGAACATAATTTAGTAGCAGCCCATGAATAAAACCTAACTTTTGTTATTGTGAGTTTAAATGAAAACTTTATTCTATCACTAATGTTGCTGTACAATATTATCAATAATACTATTTTAATATGAATAATCATTTATACTCTTTCCTATCGACGATATTTCCGATTATCGATCAGCCATCCGCAATATTAATATCAAATTTGTTTTTGTTTCACTGTGTAGATTAAGATGTTCTTCGCATGATCCTATGGTAGAAAAAAAGTAGATATAATAATAAATTCAAAAGAAATCAGATTGTTTAGATTTTCTACATTGAATGTAATTAAAGATGAGTTCAGCAGTACTGGAAAAATAGAGAGCTGATTGACACCCCATTAGCATGCCACCATTCACAGTAGTTAAACATCAACATTATGTGAAGTGTTTAGAATCAGTCATGCCTACCTTGAGTGGATCAGAGCCATTATTCCTGTGTGCGCCGTATACCTGTGGATAGCTGATAATGACTTAGATGGGAGCCAGCAGAGGTAATCCTCGACCCTGGGACTTCGCTCCATTGGGTAACAGCCCCGGCATATATGGTCACGTGTTTCGTGGAGTGCACCTTCTTTATTTTGTAAATATCCGTTGAACCGGTTTTCTATGTAAGCTGCCGTGTAGACCCTTTTCTCCCCCTCTGTGAATTATTAGACCGTGAATTTTTGTGTGTGTCAGTTATGTTCTAGTTTCAGACAGTGCAATATTTCCATATTGAAAGGGTAGTATGTTTTATGTCTTATTCCAGTTTCTGCTCAGGAATCCTCTGTGAAATATTAGACAGTTAACAAATCAAACAGTATATATTGTTGATATGTTAGTTAGCTGGCGTCGTATAGATTCACACGAATCTGATATGCGACAGGTAGATATAGTCTGTTTCGAATTCTGTCAAACCGCATTATATCTATTGGTATTTTATTATGTTGTAGGGGCACATGAAACAAACCATTTCTTGGTGAGTGAGAGTTTTCAGTGGCTCGTGCTTTGTGCAATATTCCTGCAATATTAACAAGAGGAGGTTGTTGAAAAAACATATCTGGTCACGGGGGGCAAACGGTTTTAAATCGACATCGGATTGGGGTTGGGGGTTGGGGTTGGGGGTTGGGGTGGCCTATGGTTAATGTTAGCTACACATGGAACAATACTGCATGCTTGATGTAAAGCAAGGTGAAGATAGTTGTAGTTCATAATTATAACAGATAGCACAGTCATAACAGATTTGTAACACATGGAACAGTACTGCATGCTTGATGTAAAGCAAGGTGAAGATAGTTGTAGTTCATAATTATAACAGATAGCACAGTCATAACAGATAGTTGTAACACATGGAACAGGTTAATTATAACAGATAGCACAGTCATACACATGGAACAGTACTGCATGCTTGATGTAAAGCAAGGTGAAGATAGTTGTATTTCATTATTGTAACAGATAGCACAGTCATAACAGATAGTTGTAACACATGGAACAGTACTGCATGCTTGATGTAAAAGCAAGACAGCTGTATTTTATAGTTGTAAAAGATAGCACAGTAATAACAGATGGTTGTAACAGATTTAACAGTACTAAATGCTAGACGTAGAACAGAGTAAAGATAGCTGTATTTTATAGTTGTAACAGATAGCACAGTAATAACAGATGTTTGTAACACATTTAACAGTACTAAATGCTAGACGTAAAACAGAGTAAAGATAGCTGTATTTTATAGTTGTAACAGATAGCACAGTCATAACAGATAGCACAGTCATAACAGATAGTTGTAACACATGGAACAGTACTGCATGCTTGATGTAAAGCAAGGTGAAGATAGTTGTATTTCATTATTGTAACAGATAGCACAGTCATAACAGATAGCACAGTCATAACAGATAGCTGTAACACATGGAACACTACTCATTCTGACTCATGACTGCCTCTACAACGATAGCTTTCCCGACTATCTAAAAAATCTCGTCTCTGTGTATGTACGCCAGTGAAGTCTCCGATCCTCCTCTGAATTTCTCCTCACCCAACACATATCTCCAAACCAATTGTCTGAACGAGCCTTCTCCTTTGCCAGCCATGAACCGTGGTACTCTCTTCCAAAGGAAATAAGGAACACTTCATCGAAAGAAACTGTTAAACCTCTGCTAAAGACACAACTATTCACTGGTGCCTTTTTGTAAAACATGAACTATTTCCTTCCCCAATATTTTCACAGCGCCACTGAGCATCTCTATGGTGGTTATTAGGCGCTTTAATACATTGTTATTATTATTATTGCTAAATGATAGATGTAAAACAGAGTAAAGACAGCTGTATTTTATAGTTGTAAAAGATAGCACAGTAATAACAGATGGTTGTAACAGATTTAACAGTACTAAATGCTAGACGTAGAACAGAGTAAAGATAGCTGTATTTTATAGTTGTAACAGATAGCACAGTAATAACAGATGTTTGTAACACATTTAACAGTACTAAATGCTAGACGTAAAACAGAGTAAAGATAGCTGTATTTTATAGTTGTAACAGATAGCACAGTAATAACAGATGTTTGTAACACAATTAACAGTACTAAATGCTAGACGTAGAACAGAGTAAAAATAGTTGTATTTTATAGTTGTAACAGATAGCACAGTAATAGCAGATGGTTGTAACACATGCAACAGTTTTAAATGATAGATGTAAAACAGAATAAAGATAGTTGTATTATACAGTTGTAACAGATAGCTGTAACACATGCGACGGTAATACCAGAAGGTTGTACGACACAGTATAGTACTGACAGATAGATGAAATGCGGGAAAGACTTACATACATACAGAAAGAGTGTGGTGTATGGGGAGACACTAGAGTACTAGTTTTTGATCATGTTAACACGTGGCGACATATGTTCTTGCCCGTGTCAATTCATGTCATTTTTTTATTCTCATAAACCACCTTGGTAGTACAAAAGCATATATTGTAAACTCATATACATATACAAATTCAAATTCAAATTCAAGATGGCAGAAAACAACATATAAACATTTTTTTCTGACAAGAGAAGATAGATGTTGGAAATATTTTGATAGATTTACTATGTCTCGAGATGTTTTTTACAGATAATATTTTCGTGAACATTGTTTCATTGGGAAATAGAGGTTAGATGGGTGGGTAAATATTGTTTCCTCAAAGTATCTAATGCTTTGCAATGAAAAATATAATGATGTTCATCTGCGATGGTTTTACAAGTGCATAGTTGACACGTTCTCTCGTCCCTTGGAATGTTATGCAAGCGGCCCGTCACAATAGGTTAACTATGACTACATGTTCTAAATCTGTCACCGTGATATGCAACACCATGACATTTTACAGCACATTGCGCGTACATAGATGTCATACACAGCACAGAGGTAACTAACGGCCAAAAGAGACGTGTGTGTTTAGAAATTGTACATGCAGAAACGTTATAAAAACTAGTAAGTTCACATGTTGTAGATACGAATTGAGACAACCCACAAAAGAAATGCCACGGTTACCCCCCCCCCAAAAAAAATAAAAATAAATAAATAAAACAATTAAAACAATTAAAAATAAATAAATAAATAAATAAATAAATAAATAAATAAATAAATAAATAAATAAATAAATAAATAAAATTAATTAAAAAAATAACAATAACCAAAAATTTAAAAAAACAAACCCAAAAATAACAAAAACCGTAAGAGGGCCATAAGAATGCTGCCAATGGAGCATCACAGACCCATGTTGCAAGAACATTGGACTGTTTCCGTAATACTGTGGTGATCATAGTCCGGTGATGTGAACAAAACTATTTACAGGTAGGACAACAGACAGGCCAAAAACAGACAGAACAAGGGTCTGGAAGTCGCAGAGTTGTTTTTACAAAGGTATGTCTAGTATGTACATGTAAAAACAACTCTGTGCTCCCTGTACATACTATGTATACGTTTGTAAAAGCACCTCCGTGCTCCCTGTACATACTAAACATGCCTTTGCAACTACTCACTGTCATTCACATGATGAAGGGGCAAGTATTAGCCCAGAAACGTTGTGTGTCAATAGTAAAGAAGTTGCACATCCATATCAAGTGTCTTGTATTACAATGTAGCTAGATATTCGCCAAGGTACGTAACGCTGTGTCAGTGTATGTGTCATCAACGTACGTATGACATAGGCGATGCTATACGCAAGTTGGTGTTTAACGTATAATGGGATATGTGTCATGTGTGATTTAATACGTTTACGTACGATATGTTATCTACCATGTGCCATGTGGTATGTTACGTTCAAAGGGATATGTGTTATGCGTTATTTGATAAGGTAACGTATGATATGCTATGAACCATGTGATATGTAACGTTAGTTGGTTGGTTTGTCATTTAACGCCACACACAGCTATATGTCTGTACATAATTGAGTCTGGACCAGACAATCCAGTGATCAACAGCATGAGAATCGAACTACGCAACTAGGATACGATGACATGTGTCAACCAAGTCATCAAGCCTGACCACCCGTTCCCGTCATTTACGACCTGCATGCGTTACTGCAGACCAATTCTAACCCGGGTAGATAGCTATACGTAAGCACACTGGAACTGGGACGTTGCAATTACCATGGTGATGTTCATTGTAATTACATATTGCCGATGTGACGTTAAATATTAACTCACTCACTCACTCATTGTAATTACCATGTTCAACGTAGTGATACCAAGGCTCGCATATCTCTAAGTCGTTATCAGTACAGAAGAAACATAACTCTGGTATACCGTCACATAGCCTTGCTCCAAGGCTGTACTAAATGCCAAGCCAATGTCTGTATAGTAATTCTATCCCTTAAAGACACAGGTGTAGATGAGCTGAAGGATGCCAGCCTTTTTCAGGGACTACGTGTTAGTTTTATTCATATTTCTTAGAAATTATCATTTAAACTATAAACGATTACATTAGAGACTTGCGCAAATCTACTCATAAGGCTGCTGTTACTATTCCGAATAGGCTTGCTCCAAGACTTTACTGACTGCTAAGTCCATGGATGTGTATTAACTCTTTCCTTTAAAGTTGCAAGTCTTGATAAGGAGATAAAATAAGGACGCCAGTCTGTTAGAGGGATATTTATACTTTTTATAAATTATCATTTAAACTATTAATTATTACCTAAGAGACTTGTGCAAGTCAAAACGTCAAGCTATTTACGTGTCACAAAAAGTACCACAATTTCCAACGCAAAAGGCAGTCGCTCCAGTGATTGTGATGGTCATGTGATTTTTCAGTGGTGTAATTGACGTGACGTTGCATGTGTTTATGACGGGTGGCACTGGTGGGGCAGGAAACGCTCAACTATTGTAGTGATCCATAAACACCCTTTTACGACATAGCCGTACTCAATCGTAAACATCAATAAACATTGCATTTGGTACAGATGTCTTACGATGAGGGAAATGTTTTTGTCCTTTATATTCTTGTAGATCACCCAAACACCCGAAACAGACGTATCCATAGTTGTTGCTCAGACGCACTGGAAACTTGTTACATAATCAGCGAAATAATAGCCT